TCAGACGAGTTGCCTAGCACGTTACCACTTATGCGAGATATCCAACATCACATTGACTTGATCCCAGGATCCAGTCTGCCGAACCTGCCACACTATCGCATGAGCCCTAAAGAGAATGAGATTCTCCGCGAGCAGATCGAGGACCTAATGAAGAAAGGCTTCATCCGGGAAAGTATGAGTCCATGTGCCGTCCCTGTCCTATTAGCCCCTAAGAAGGGCAACCAATGGCGCATGTGCGTCGACAGTCGGGCCATTAACAAGATTACTATCAAGTACAGGTTTCCCATTCCCCGCTTGGAGGATATGCTAGACGAGTTATCCGGGTCAAAGGTGTTCTCGAAGATTGATTTGAGGAGTGGGTACCACCAAATCCGGATTCGGCCAGGGGATGAGTGGAAAACCGCGTTCAAGAGTAAGGACGGTCTCTACGAATGGCTTGTCATGCCTTTCGGATTGTCCAACGCTCCTAGCACTTTCATGCGGCTCATGAATCAGGTTCTTCGTCCTTTTATTGGGTCTTTTGTGGTAGTATACTTCAATGATATTCTGATTTACAGTAAATCCAAGGAGGCACACTTAGAGCAGCTGCGTCAGGTACTCCAAGTGCTCCACGAGAATAAACTCTATATCAACCTCAAGAAATGTACTTTCTACACCGATCATCTTCTGTTTTTGGGGTTTATTGTCGGTGAGTCAGGGGTTCAAGTGGACAGGGAGAAAGTCCATGCTATTCGCAGCTGGCCAACCCCTACGACCGTGTCGGAAGTACGAAGTTTTCACGGACTGGCTACTTTTTACCGACGTTTTGTCCGCGACTTTAGCACCATCGCCGCCCCCATGACCGAGTGTCTGAAGAAAGGGAAATTTTTATGGGGCCCCGAGCAAGAGAAAAGCTTCACTTCAATCAAAGAGAAGCTCTGCACCGCCCCCGTCCTCGCCCTACCCGATTTTGACAAGATCTTTCAAGTGGAGTGCGATGCAAGCAGGGTTGGCGTGGGCGCTGTTCTCTCACAAGAGAAGCGACCTGTGGCATTTTTTAGTGAGAAGCTTAGTGACGCCAGGCAAAAATGGAGCACATACGACCAAGAGTTTTATGCCGTTTTCCGAGCATTGCGCCAATGGGAACATTATCTGATACAGAGGGAGTTTATTTTGTTCACCGACCACCTCGCCTTGAAGTTCCTGCACAGTCAAAAGGTGATCAACAAAATGCATGCACGCTGGGTCAGCTATCTACAGAAATTCCCCATCATAATCCAGCACAAGTCTGGCATTCAGAACAAGATTGCCGATGCACTAAGCCGCAGAGCTTCCTTGTTGGTCACTTTGGCGCATGAGATTATTGGGTTCGATATTCTCAAGGAACAATACGCAACTGACCCTGATTTCGCGGAACTGTGGTTTAAATGCACACATCAGCACCCCAGCGCTGACTTCCATATGCGCGATGGCTACTTATTTAAAGGAGATCGCCTCTGTATCCCAAGCTCCTCTTTGCGCGAACAGCTCATCCGCGAGCTGCATGGTGGGGGCCTTGGCGGTCATTTAGGACGAGACAAAACGATTGCTAGCCTCGAGGCGCGTTTTTTTTGCCTCATCTACGGCGCGACGCGGGTGCCATTGTCCGGAGGTGTTTTGTTTGTCAAACATCAAAAGGCCAATCCCAGAATACAGGACTTTATCTGCCCTTGCCGATTCCTGAAGATATTTGGCTCGATCTTTCTTTGGACTTTGTTCTGGGTTTACCTCGCACTCAGAGGGGTGTGGATTCTGTTTTTTGTCGTCGTTGATCGTTTTTCAAAGATGTCCCACTTTATTGCGTGCAGGAAAACAGCGGATGCTTCCAACGTCGCCAAGCTGTTCTTCAAGGAAGTGGTTATCCTACATGGGGTTCCTGTCTCGATCACTTCCGACCGCGATACCAAGTTCCTCAGCCATTTTTGGCTTACTCTATGGCGATTGTACGGGACTGCGTTGAATCGAAGCTCTACGGCCCATCCGCAAACTGAAGGCCAGACCGAGGTTACCAATCGGACCCTGGGTAACGTGATTCGCAGCCTTTGTGGTGATAAGCCACGGCAATGGGACTTATTCCTTTCCCAGGCCGAGTTTGCCTATAACAGTGCAGTCCATTCCGCTACGGGCAGGTCTCCTTTTTCTATTGTCTACACTTCCCTGCCTCGCCATGTTGTGGATTTGATTCCCCTTCCCACGGCTTCGGGCGTGAGCAAAGCAGCAATGGACATGGTCCATGACTTCCAGGCTGTTAAGCAAGGTGTTCGCGCCAGGTTGGAGGCCGCTGGTCAGAAGAATAAGGCTGCCGCCGATGCTCACCGGCGTTCTAAGGTTTTTGCTGCAGGTGACGACGTCATGGTATTTCTACGCAAGGAACGATTCCCCGTCGGCACGTATGCTAAGCTCCAGCCTCGCAAGTATGGTCCCTTCAAGGTGTTACGGAAGATTAATGATAATGCTTATATCATCGATTTGCCTGCTGATATGAACATATCCAACACATTCAATGTGGCTGATCTCTACGAGTTCCATGAGGATGCTCCGTTATATCCCCGTACGAACTCGAGGTCGAGCTCTTTACAGGTGGAGGAGACTGAGGCGGCGCGGCTAGCAGACCAGATCAAGGACGCATCCCAGTTGGAGAAGGAGTTAGCGTCGCATACGTAAACCCAGCTAGACAAGGCCATTTTGGAGCTGTTTTGTTTTATGTCGGTTTATTAAATTATGTTTTCTTTTCCTAATCCCTTTTTTGAAGGGCTAGTCGGCTGTAGTATTTAAAGGGCATGTAAGCGTAGGACTTGGACATCTTTGCTTTAATCAAATTACTAAACCTTAAGGTTTGTTTCCGGTGGATTCTGGAGTTCTCGAAGTGAGCTTGTGGCTTGCAAGCTCTTTCTTTTCCAGCGGATTTAGCGTTTGCGAATCCTTGGTGTTTCCGACTGCGTCAAAAAGGAAAATGAGAAATAAAAAAATTAAAGCGTACAAAACTCGCTTTCGATCTAAAATGGTCAACAACGTGTTCAACTCGCATTAAATAATTTTTTAACAAATTAACACTTGGTCCAACCTGCCAACTACAAAAGCGGATAAAGCTCGCTCACAATACAACACCAATAAGAACCTTAGATTTGGGTTCAATTGTTTTCCCAACCAAAAGAAGAAGAAAAAAGAAATTTATTAATACTAAAGTCGGTTTCAAGTCGCTTTGACTGGATCGAATTAGGTTAGATACCCATGAATTTGTGTTCAATTGTGATCATGCTCAATAAAAATGAAAAAAAGAAAGAAAAAACACTACAGAGGATGAAACTCGTTCCTGATACAAAACTTGTGGTAGCGGCCTTCGCAAACGATGGTGGGGAACAACTTAGGATTTCGCCGACAGTTTTTCGAGATGGGCTGCAAAATGGTGGGCAAATGCGATGATTTGTGCAAAAAGGCAGAGACGAAAACTTAACGAACAATAACAAAACACTAAAGAGGATGAAATTCGGTCTAGATACAAAACTCGTGGTAGCGGCCTTGGGAAATGATGATGGGGAACAACTTAGGATTCTGTCGACAGTATTTCAAGATAGGCTGTAAAATGGTAAGCAAATGCAATAATTTGTGTTCAAGTTAGGATACCCATGTGTTTGGGTTCAATTGTGATCATGTTCAACAAAAAGTAAAAAAATAAAGAAAAAGACACTAAAGAGGATGAAACTCGATCCCGATACAAAAATCGTGGTAGCGGCCTTTGAAAACGGTGGTGGGGAACAACTTAAGATTCCGCCGACAGTATTTCGAGATGGGCTGAAAATGGTGGGCAAATACGATGATTTGTGCAAAAAGCCATAGATGAAAACCTAGCGAACAATAACTAAACACAAAGGCGATGATTTTGCAAAAATCCATATACGAAAACCTAATAAACAATAACAAAACACAAAGGCGATGATTTGTGCAAAAAACCATAGACGAAAACCTAGCAAACAATAACTTAAACACAAAGGTTGTAGAATGGAGAGTGAGGTAAAAGAATGACTTGGAACTTCCCCACTTGCACTTGGAGGAGTGTGAGAGCCACTAATTAATAGTAACTCAAACTTAGGCTTTTATATATTAATTAATGCCTCTCACATACAGATTCTTTCTCGTCTTCTGTGTATGATGAGCCCATCATTAACCAGAGGCAAGATTAGTAATCTTAAAATTAAAAGCTTGACCAAAGTCATGTGTATATGAGTGTGGTAACACCAATTCCTCTTAATCCAGGTCACTACCTCCTCCTGAGAAGAGAGGTTCTAAGAGCATGGTTGAACGAATTCTCTATGAGTACCAAGGCCTCGAGTTGCGAACATAGCTTTCAGCATCGTCTTGCTTCCAATTATTGTACTGAACTTCAAACTAAGAACTTCAATGATCCATATGGTTGTGAACTTTTAAGGCCGTGATAATTAAAATTTGATCAAACATATCACAATGTTTATGAAAATATGTGATTTTACGGCTATGCCTTTTTCCTCTCTCCGTCTGAGAGAAATCCAAAGGTGACTAAATCCCCAACCACCGATACTTTTCAAATGTGGGAGGTGCGCGCATTAGCCCGAGATTTTATAGGAGAGTGTTTCCCTCAATGGAGACCTCGCGATCTAAAAGACCAAATTAATTACTCACTTCTGGCACGCACTTCAAATTTCGTTGTACATTTTCAACATCAACCTATGGATGAGCTATATGCTTGCGACATAGTATTAATAAGGTGATCTATCATGATTCATTACCCATCGCATACAATAAATCAACCCCATTTTACGAGAGATAATTATCCTTCGTAACCTATCACCCAACCGTTTGTTGGTTTGCCACCTTTAGGCTTTAGCTGATTGCCTCCCTGGATCTGTTTGGCCCCCACCAATTTCCATTCTTCATTCCTCCCTAAATATAATCACGGCGTAAAAAGAGAGAAGACAAAACCTAACAAGCCATACTTTCCTAATTTCACAAAAAAAAAAAAATTGCAGAACATGGCTTCCACGAAGGTTATCGCCACCTTGTTCATGGCTGCCCTCCTCCTTAGCTCCTGCGGAGCTACCTCCCGGCCCGGCCCGGCAGAAGCTCCTGATGTCGTCGTTGTTCCGGCCGAAGTGACCACATCTGAGGAGAGTTACGAGGGACATACGTTCGATCCCATGATCGACCGGCTCGATCCTGCTTCCTTTGCTGCCAGCACCTCCCACAAGGTTTCCTATTACATTTGTTTGTTCTTCATTATTAATAAAGATAAGGGTGTTACAAGATTCGTTCAATGATAGTTTTTTGTTATGTGTTTGTGCGGGACAAATTTAGCTGGTGGACGGACATGATACGGTGGAGCAAGATCTGTGCGAAGGGCTGGGGGAAAATGATTGCTTGACGAGAAGAACTCTAGAAGCTCATCTCGATTACATCTACACCCAGGAACATAATAATTAATGAGCCATGCATGAACGTCGTTTTCTTTTCTGCCTCCCAGAAACATAATAAGATTGCTCAGAAGTTGATCTTCTTCGTATATTATTCTATTCTATATCATCACAATAAAGATTTTCTATTTATGAACGGAGTGACAGGGATATTGTATGATTTCACCTGTTTTGGACTTCTCGGTTTCATTTCGAGCCACAGGGCCATTCCTGGGTCTCAGGGGCTGGTTGGACCGGCCTGCTCTTAGTTTTCATTCACCTTCGGCTAGACTTTGACCCAATTCGTCAACTTTGGACGCGAACATCAGGCACTACTGTGTGCGTGGTTGAATTTATGTTGAGGGTAGGATGACAATTTGAACTGGTCTTCTTGATATTATCAGATTGATCTACGATGGCGAGGATATCATCTCATATGCAGTAGTGTGGGTCAGAGCATGAATATCTATTTCAGATCCGTCTTGTTCCACCCTATGCCAGCCCATTTTATTTCAGTTGCTTACAATATCTATTCATATTTTTCCTGCTTTGGTTTTTTTTCAACTAGTTAGACTTGGTCTTTCAACTAACTCAATTACACATTCTATTATCACTATTTTACATTCATAACGTTTTTTAAATTCCTACACTACCTTGGAGTTATTGTAACTTGATATTTTTGACCTGTTATAACAGGTTTAACAAGTCGCATTACGTAAAATACAATGGGTATTACGTAATGGTTACGTAAGGATAAACATAGTTGAAAAATGTTATTACGGATACGTAATGAATATTAACATTTCGTTACGTAATCTGTTAAATTATTACGGAAGACTTATGTAACGCTTCTAATTTAACTATTACGAAGGAAATAACTATCATTCCATGACCTTTACGTAATAGATGCATACTTTACATAACAATTGTAAAGTGTCATTACGGAAGCCTTGCGTAATGGATGGTCCTTTTACGTAATGAATATTAACCAAGTTACGTAATGTTGTAAGTCATTACGGAAGTCTTACGTGACACTTCTAATTTACTGTTACGTAAAAAATAACCTTCGTTACGTAACCTTTATGTAATGAGCATGTATTTTATGTAACAGTTGTAAAATGTTATTACGCAATCCTTCTGTAATAGATGATGCTTTTACGTAATGAATATTAACCTAGAGTTACGTAAAATGATAAGTCGTTACGGAAACCTTCCGTAACGCTTCTAGTTTAACTGTTACGTAAGACTAACAAGCATTACGTAATTGTTACGTAATAAACATTAGATTTACGTCATGCAACTTGTGAAACCTGCTATAGCAGGTCAAAAGGTCAAATTATAGTAACTTCAAGGCATGGTAAGAGGTCCCGAAAGTTTTTTCAATTCATTTTATAGTAAAAAGTAACATTTTGCATGTATTTTTCAAATAACATGTATAAATGAGTTGAACCGTCTAATCCCGTACCTGTATGGGTATTACTTGTACAACTCGTACTTGATGCGAAGGGGATATGAGTATTGAAATAATCACCCCACCTACCCATTTGCCATCACTAAATATACGCCATTATTTCCCTCTTGGTGTCTTCCTTTATCATTGTGTCTTTAATTAGTTACATTTTCATGGCAGATCCATTGATGGCTTCTTTTTACATGTAAAAATATGCTCGGTCCCTATGAATTTTTTTAACTTTTATTGGTTTCAAATAACCCTATGACTGATTTATTGGCAGGAGATTTGTAATAGAAGTTGTAACATCCCGACTTTGAATTTATGTTTAACCAAGACGAGAAATTGTCTTAAAATGATTGAGATAGAATATATCTAAGAAATGCAACCTTGAATTTTTATATTAATTGTTTGATTATATGTTAGTCACCCGAGAAATACAACCTTGATTTTATCTAAATTTTATTGTTCATTTTTACCTTGAAGTTCAAGTTATGTTTCAGTCCATGCTTACGTTCAAGTTATTCAATTTCCAATTTTCATGTTAAGTAAAGTAATGATACGTAAAATATACTATTTTCATCTTCTTTTATGTCATGTTTTGTGTCATTTCATAACATTTTTAACGATTTTAACTTGCATTTGCTTGATATTTTCTCTAAGATGCATTTAGAAGCTGGTGTCTTTATACATTTGAGGTCTTTTCAGATAGTATTTTAGTATTTTCAGACCATTACACCTATAGTACCCATCTTGTATGAGCATCGGACATCATAACGCATGAGCTAGAAATCATAAAGTGAGCTAGAAATTACGGCCCAAATTTGGTGGGTTTGGTACCGTGCCCATGACAATTTTGGTGGTTTAGGCACGGAAAATGAAGCGGTGGATTTTCTGAATCCAACTATATGGATATTGCTTCCTTTGGCCCCAAGTATAAGATAATCCAAAGATATTCTATTTTGAGAGATATCTCTAGAAAAAATTATATATGGCCCTATTGATGTGACTTGAATTGGACTATCAGCCGTTACGACTGGTAACCATTTCCTTTGCCAGATTGGATTAGATTTAGACCCACATGGAGAAGTACTATAAATACTTCTCATGCTCCTCTGTAATCTGTAATCTCCTCGATATAGTGAAATTGGCACTCTGTCGCCGTGGACGTAGCTAACACACATCGTGTTAGTGAACCACGTAAATCGTGTGTCGTGTTTTCGATTCTCGCTTTCGTATTCTTGCTTTGTCGATTCCAGCGATTTTCCGATCCGTAGCAGCGGGTTTATAACAAGTGGTATTAGAGCCGCCGCTGGAAATCAGGCTAGGGTTTTCGATTCAGAAGAATGACGTCGGTGAACATGAAGATCGAAAAGTTCACGGGGAAGAACAGCTTCGCTATATGACAGATCAAGATGCAGGCTTTATTAAAACAGCAAGGGCTGTGGGGGCCGCTGTCTGCGAAATAGAAGAAGGCAGCAGTCGAGGACGATGAGTGGAATACCCTGGAGGAGAAGGCCCACTCGACCATCATGCTATCGTTGTCTAATGACGTCATCATTGAAGTCGCTACTGAGAAGACTGTCGCGGGCTTGTGGTTAAAGTTGGAGAGTCTGTATATGACGAAGTCCTTAACCAACAAGTTGCATCTCAAGCAACGGTTATTCAGCTTGAGGATACAAGAAGGTATGCCTTTGAGGGAACATCTCGAACAACTTAACTCTATTAATTTGCTGGATCTGCGTAATATAGATGTTTAAGTTGATGACGAGGATGCTGCCCTAATCCTACTGGTTTCTTTGCCGAGTTCATATGAGAATTTCGTTGATTCTTTTATTGCTGGTAAAGAAAGCGTGTCGTTGGAGGATGTCAGGTCTGCTCTTCATACGAGAGAGATCTGGTACAGGTGGTGAGGCATCGGGTTTGACTGTTACAGGTGGAAAGGGAAAGAAAAAATCTGGTAAAGGGAATTCGAGCAAGAATTCCAAGGGTCCCGGTCCACAACAAGGTGATGCTTGTCACAACTGTAAGGAAGTAGGGCATTGGAAGAACAACTGTCCCAGGAGAAGAGGGCAATAGAAGAACCAAGGTTCAGTTGCCGTGGCAGAAGTGGACAACAGTTCTGAAGACGATCTCGCCTTGGCTGTAGATGAGAAGGCACATCGTGGTGATGTGTGGTTTCTAGATACTGCAGCCTCATACCATATGTCTCCGAACAGGGATTGATTCACAACCTACGAGCATATAGATGGTGGTAACGTGGTCATGGCTAATGGAGCTGTCTGCAAGGTTGTTGGAATCGGGTCCATAAAGGTTCGGACACATGATGGTTCGTTCTGTACCGTGAATGATGTCAGGCATGTTCCACGAATGGCAAAGAACCTGATCTCCTTGAGTCTACTCGACAGCAAGGGCTTCAGCTTCAAAGGAAAATGTGGAGTTGTGTATGTCTGCAAGGGTTCGAGGAAGGTACTGAAGGGCATGAAGCGTGGGACCTTGTATGCATTACAAGGGTCTGTGTTGTCTGGTTCTGCTGCACTTGCATCGTCTCAAGTTCAACAGGAAGATATGACCACTCTCTGGCACATGAGACTGGGGCATATGAGTGAACGGGGGATGCAAGTTCTATCGAAGAGGGATCTTCTTTGCGGGCACAAGGTGCAGAATTTGGAATTCTGCGAGCATTGTGTATTTGGGAAGCTACATCGCAGCAAGTTTCCCAAGAATGGTATCCACCGGACGAAGGTGATACTGGATTACCTCCACTCCGACTGTTGGGGTCCTTCACGAGTTGAATCCATTGGAGGCAGCAGGTATTTTCTGTCTATTATTGATGATTATTCGAGATTTACTTGGATTTTCATGATGAAGCAGAAAAGTGAGGCTTTCACGAAGTTCAAGCAGTGGAAGACATTGGTGGAGAATCAGACTGGGAAGAAGATCAAGAAGCTGCGAACGGACAATGGCCTGGAGTTCTGTATTTCTGAGTTCAACAGATTCTGCAAGGATGAAGGGATTGCCCGTCATCGGACCGTGAGAGATACACCCCAGTAGAATGACGTTGCAGAAAGGATGAACCAGACATTGTTGGAGAGAGCACGGTGCATGCTCTCTAATGCTGGACTAGAGAGAAGATTCTGGGCAGAAGCAGTGAACATGGCGTGCTTGCTGATCAACCGTGGACCTCACACAGGTATCGAGTTGAAGACTCCTTATGAGGTGTGGTATGGTAAGCCTGCTGATTACTCTTCACTGAAAGTTTTTGGGCGTCCTGTTTATTATCATGTGGATGAGGGTAAACTGAACCCAAGGGCAAAGAAGGGTGTATTTGTGGGTTACGGAGATGGAGTTAAGGGATTTCGAGTCTGGTCACCTTCTCAGCATCGGGTTATACTCAGCAGAAATGTGATATTTGATGAGAAGTCTATGTTTAACCCCATGTTGAAGGTTACTGTTGTTGAAGGTAGCAGGAATGTTGATAAGCAGGTGGAGCTGCAAACTCTCAAAGAGAGTGAGTTTAAGCACCAAGGTGGAGAAGATCAACATGATGAGGATGTCTCTGCAGAGCCAGAAACTTCAGAGTCCATTGCAGGAGCTCAACAGTCTATAGCTTCCGGTAGACCAAAGAGAGACTGTAGGGGTACCTCCACAGAGGTATGGCTTCGA